GCCTTGAAGTCAATAAGAATTGTAAAAAATTATATTTTTTGTTTTGTTTTAGCTAGCACAGTTTTCAAATAAAGGTCGCGGCGAGTACTTTTGCACCAATGTAATATAATATCTAAAGAATATTATGTTTAAATTACTTTATTTATTATTTAATTTTTATTAAATTTATAATGTAATTAAAAATGAAACGTTATTTCTTTGAACATTTTTATTGATAAATAAAAACTTATAATAGATAATTAGTTAATTAAATTTAATTATTTATGTTATATTATATAGAGCAATTTATTTAAATATAATTATTAATAAGTATTTTAGTTGATAAAATATTTCAAACTTAAAATTATTAAACATTTAGTTTGCTAAATACAGCAGCCTTATCTGGGATAGAGTGGGACACCTCATTAACCCTGGTATGTCCCTTAACCTGTACGCACCGTTGCACCTCCAGTAGACGTGTTATTGTGCTACCCGTCCACTTGAGACCACACAACTTATTAATCATACCCTGAATCTCATCCAAAGATATGCTAAACTCATTTGCATTCATAGACTTCAAGGCATCGATTATTAGTTGTTTTTCACGATTATAGCTATCGAGTAGTTGTCTAAGTTTGCCAACAATGACCTTGCTACTATCATCATCACTGACAACAGAGGTATTTACTTCATCATCAATAAGCTGCTGAATATGCCTTTCAAAATGGTCATCCATATGGGTCAGTGAGTTGTGAACCAAAAAGTAGGCAAATCTTGCCATACATTTCACAATAATATTGGACTCACGGGTCAGTTCCCCGATCTTAACCTCCAGTTCCTTCAACTGCGACCTCTGAGCCTCCGCCGCCTCCGACGCGTTAGTAATGCGCTGTTGTTTGGTCTCATCCTTGACCTGCCGGTGCTGTACTTGATTCTCGTAACGTATATACCGGTGCGATTGGATACCGTGCCCACAGGTAACGCACATTACCTTTTGTGAGCTTTTAGTTTTGGTAGTGCTACCACCAAGCAAAAATTTATCATAGCCAATTCCCAGGTTAAATTGTTCATTCTCATACTCCATCAAGGTAGTATATTGGCATTCGTTATCGTACTGGGTAACACTGGTACCCTGAACATGTCGGCGCGTACAGCACGAGGGGTCAGTGCATACGAGCTTAGGGTGGGGTAAAGGTGTGGATATGATATCCACTTGTGGGACGTATAGCTCGACTTGAAGTTGATTTATATCGGACTCGCACTCAAGTATACGGCGCTTACGGGCCTCGCATTGGATCTGATTGTCGGCGATGTTCTTCGCGATGTCAACCAATGGTTGACTCAATAGTAGGATAACCTGTTTGGCACTATTGAGAGATAATGTGTCCCGGATATTGTAGGGCCGGAGTGTACGGATGTAATCAAACATACGTTTGCACTCTTTCACAGATCTGGTAGAGAGAGAGAGAGATTCAAAATAATTTGTTTAATTATTAACACAAATATTAAATACTGTTAATATTAAACATACCTGTCCCAACTGGCATTATAATCAATTTTATAATCTTCACTGAACTTCATATTATTCGGGGGAACAGTAGCCACGAGATAACGGAATGACTCGTTATCGAAGCAATAGATAGTATTAGTACTGTATTTGATGTCCACATTAGGGGGTCTTTCCCTTAAGTCTCTTAAAATACTTTCCAATACCGGTCCCGAATCTCCCGGTGCGTAGTGTGTTGACCGGGCGTTGGTAAAGAGGAACAGTATGTTATCGGCCGCAGACTTATTCAAGTGACTGAACAACTGTAACAAACAATACTTGAAAACTACATTTACTTTAGTGTTATTAGGCTTTAATAGCACACAAATGGCATTAATATCGCGATAATTGCTAATAAAGTCCAATAAGGTGTCTATATTTTTATTATCTTTATCCACGCCTTCCGTATCGGCAATACCCGGGGTATCGATGATATTAAGCGTAATGTTATTGTTTATGAATTTATAGCATTTGGGATATTTTGTGCCCGATTTGTACGACCGGTCAGTGTTTTCATTGGCGTCGAGTCCACCGAAAGTTACTTTCTTTGGTTCATAGGTCTGTGGATCGGTTACCGTGAATGAGACGGGAATGACGCACATGGGTTGACCTCTGACTTCATCCATAGTCTCGTACGACATATAATTGACGAATGCGTTGATGAAAGTCGACTTTCCCACAGCCGACTCACCCAATAATAACAGGGTAAAATCTTTTGCGGACATTATTTATGATAATTAATTAAAAACTTAAAGCTTAAAGCTTTTGAAAATAATTTTATATTTCAAAATTTGAAATTCAATTGTTTACTGTTATTTAGGGATTTCAGTTGACTATAACAATTTTTGAAAATGTCAATGTTTACGTATAAATAGTAAAAATATGATTACAAATGTATGTAATTATGAATTTGAAAACTTTTCACTTGATTTAAAAATATTATGAATTTATGACTAAATAAAGATTAAATCATTTAGTAAATTATGAAATGATTTTATTTGTCTCTTTAGCAGTCATACAATCGGAATGTGTTTATGGCATTGGTTTCATAAACACAGACAACTCATGTCACGTAATATCACATGTGGCAATTTGAAAACATATTAGGTGAAACAGAAAGTCCGTGGAACAATTCATTTTAATATATCTCCCAAAGTACAAATGACAGAGAATATTG